AAAAAAAAAAAAAAAAAAAAAAAAAAAAAAAAAAAAAAGAAAAGAAAAGAAAAGAAAAGAAAAGAAAAAAGTAAAAGGTATTAAATCCCTTGAACTACAGAAGCTTTAAGACATTTCCACATGTGTGTTTTGTGGGTTTTGTGTACAGCCAGGATACCTGGAAGTGAGTGAAGGCAGCAGCCTGACTTGCTGGCTTTACAAAAACCACCATGACGTCTGCAGATAGCCGATCTTGGCAGATGTGCAGGGGAGAATCTGGATGGTATATCCTGTCTAAATCAGTTTTCTACTGATGACTGAGGTAAGAACAAAGTGTTTAGTGGTGATAACCAGGAAATTGAGGCAGTTGGGAAGAGCTGAGCAAGGCATTATGAAATGAAGTATGTCAACTGTACAAAAACACACCCTGCAGAATTTCATAAGACACTGACATAAGAGCCCAGGTCTGTAAGCTCCCAAAGATAGGAGCTTGTCCTTCTTTTTGGCAAACTTACCATTATATTGGCCTTTAGAACATCAAAACTTCTTTAATGGTTAACAGTTGAGGCTATACTTTTAATCATTAAAAGGCCCATTCACTGAATTGATTATAAAGGGAGCTATTTATATTAAAGGTATTTTTAAACATCCTTTGGGGAAGGGAACAATAGTTCCTTTGTACTGCAAAATAAAATGCTGCATGGCCTTTTTATTTTTCAGATTATGGGTCCGCTTTCATTACCTAATTCCTTAATTTTTTTTAGCTTCTATAATCAGCACCCATATACACTATCCTGAGAAGCAATATAATGGCAGCAAAAGACAGAAAATCTGCACGGTACATGAGAGCTGATTCTGCTTTAAACCAGGCCATCATGCCACGAGCCTGACGCCGAACTACCCCCTCATCACAGTGAAACACAGTCCAAGCTGAGCCCCTACTGAACCTCCAGAAATGGCTTCTTAGAACCTTCACATATTTTAGCCTAAATAGCTTCCCGCTACCTCAAAGAGGTCTGAGGGGGCCTACGAATGCTGCTTATCCAATAACTCTTACCCTCTCACTTAAAGACCCAGGCGGCCACTTGACTATTAAAATTAACTAAGTACCTAGCAACTCACTTACCCTGGGGATCTTCCAAGCCATTCCAACCTAAGATGCCCCGGAGAGCATTCTTCATCAGAGAGCAAACAACTGGATCCTATGGGAAGCAGAGCCCATGCTAGCCACTAAAACACCAACGTTCATGCAAGCAAGGAATGCTTTTTGCTTCTAGAAAGTCAGTTTCCATGGCTTCAGACTGTCTAAAGATCTGTCTGCATTGTGAGAAAAGCAGAAGAAACTAGCCAAAAAGTAGATATGTTTTAGCAAGCATTTCATAATCCTGGGGAATGGGGATTAAAACTAAATTTATTTCCAGACTTCAGCTGTCCAAAGTCATAAAGCCAAAGGCTTTAGTTGCTCTGATGTGGCGGCTGAGGAATGACGAGAGGACAATGACAAAGAGAACCCCTTCCACATTTATGATGCATTAAAATTAAAATACTGCTCTACCTCATGGACCCAAGTATCCCACCAGGCAAGACCTCACAAGGCCCACCCACAGTAACATAGACAATAAAGAAACTCGCAGAAGCAGCCCTTTAGAGCCAGGATCCTTCCTCATCTTCTCAGATGTCAGAGGGTGCAGACGGTGGGAAATGTCCAGCCATTGATATCAGCATATCTAACACCGTCACCCTCTATAAGAAGAAAGTCATCCAGCTACAGCTGGTGTGGTTGGTCAGGAGCCCTTCCCAGAATACCTAAGGCTGTGGCATTTGTGGGCAGCCAGCCAAGCAGCAGGTGTGTTGACTTTAAAGTGACTTCATACTTACTGAAGAGATACTGAAAAGAAAGATGAAATGTACAAACTTCCTGTCCTAAATCTAGGGGTTTACCTGCTCCCTGATAGGCAAAGTTCTTCACTCTTGGATGGACAAGGCTGATGAAAGAGAAGAAAGACTCTCTGGAGGTTGAGGGTGGAAAATAAGCAGAGAGGAGAGTGTGAGTGTGTACGTGAAGTATGCGTTTGTATTTGTTGTTCTGGAGTTTTGTGAAACAGCAAAGCCATAGCATTTTGCTCTTGAGCGGCTCAGAATTGAATGTAGAAAGTTTCAAGAAACTTTCATCACTATTTTAAGAAACGTCTCTTGAGATCCCACATCATTCTCATTTCAAATCTAAGTTTCCTGGGCAAACTGTAGGGAGAGCAGCCTAGCAAACGCTAAAAATTTCATCTAAGAAAATGAGCTTTTTTAAAAAGATGGAGCTATCCTATGCTGCGCACCTCAAGGGCTGCCATTAGCAGACTTACAATGTGAACAGGCCACCCTGTTAGGTAACATGTAGGTTGTGGCCTAAGGTACGTTCAGGACTCAGCATTCTTCCTCTTGGTAAACACTCACTGAAGTGGTTTCCCCAAGCTTGAGCCACTGCAACAATGGGCGTTGAGTATACCTTGACTAGATTTCTTTACCACTCATAAACTCTCATTTCCTCATTTAGCTGTCCGTGGCAAAGGTCTCTGCAAGAGCTGCTTCAAGCAGGCAAAAGGAAGACACAAGGTTGTTGGCTGCTCCACTCAGCTTACCTCAGAGATAGACTTGACAAATCGGATCCCATCATTGGCTCCTTTCACCTTGGCCAGGCAGGCACAGAAGTAATCCCAGTAGTCCTTTCTGTTGCCCAGGAGGGTGGCCTTCTCTTTCTGATCAAACTGTGTAGGGAAGACAGGGAAAGGAGGTCCAAACCCACTGCTCTTTATCCCAGCATTCAAATGATAAATAATAACAATAGCTTCTTAGGCGCCAGCACTGGGTGAGACCCTTTATTGGTATTATTTTTATTTATTGACAAATCAAGGTCTGCCTGTTCATACAATTGGGTGGAACACCACCAAAGTTATTAACAGATGAGAAATAAGTACAAGAAAAGAGTCTTAAGGGCAATATGAAGAGTGTTAACTATGCTTTGACTTAAGGAAATAAGATAATGACACTTTATCCCAGTTACTCAACTCGTAAGTTTCAATACGTTTTTCAAACACCTACAATACATTTAAATTAATGTCGGCTCTGAGTCATTTCAAATCCAAAACCAGAATGAGCTTAATTGAAAAAAAGAAAGGCTCAAAAACATTTTTACAATGTTAAAGAACCAGTTGAAACGGCATGAGAGAGGCAAGGCCTTCAGCACGTTAGGGGCCTTTCCTCTAGTGGGCCCGCATACTACATGCTTTGGTGGGATGTGACGTTGCAAAATAATGGTGTCCACGGTGATATAGGTATATCTTTCTGTAATATTTTATAGTATTTTTTCTGATTACAGAAGCAAGACATGCATATGTTATTAGGATAACTAGATAAAACCAAACAAAAAAATAGAAAAAAATTTTAACACCTAATACCACTACCCTAAAATAACTTCTAGAGCATTTTCTTCCTGCCTATTTTAGTTGCATGCATTTTTCCACAACTGCAGTGTTCTCCACATCAGCACTTTTTGAGCCAAGCAGGGATAAGAGGTATACCATCTATACGTTAAAAGAAAATATCCCGGGATGACCCCAGAGATCCTGATTCAGTAGGATTGGGGTGGGAGCCAAGAATGTAATACTAACAAGCTCCCAGAGGGGCTCGATGCTGCCGGTCTATGGACTGCACACTGAGTGGCAAAACTCTAAAACAGAAGCCCACAGATAATTTTTAGAGGGTCCACACAGTCTTAGAATCTGCCTGCAAAAATGCATGATTGAGTGCATACGTATATGAATGTCTTTTTGGGAAGACTCCACAGCTTTCACTAAACTCCCAAAGGGGTATGTAACTGCCCCAAATTTAAGATCCTTGCCATACAATAACCTTCTGACCTATCTTACAATGACCTAAATCTCCAAAGGATGTTTTTGATTCTCAAAGCCATCTTAGGGGCAACATTGCAATTCCCCAGAGAATCACACTTGGAAGACTGAGCTCGTAGTGGAGACTGCTCTGACCTTCCATCTAACCACAAGGGCTTACGGGCTCCTTGGGCTTTCTGAACGATATCTTGAATGCTGATCAGGCACCCAAAGAGGGAGAAAAGAAGACAGCAGTGCAAAAATTAACATATTACAGGCATCACTTACTTGCAGAAGATACTCAAGTTTATAAGAAAATTTATGCAAGCTCGTGCTATCATCCGTGATGGGTTCCCCTGCTTCCTGAAATTCTTTGCTTAGTTCTGTCACAGCATCTTTAAGACAACAAACAGGAACATGTAACCAGATAGTGACTAAACTCAGAAAGAGAAGCAGGAATAACTCAGGAAGCATGAGAAATAAGTGGTCAGTGATACAAAGCACCTCTGAAACATATCCATGAAATATAACTCCAAGTCAGGGAGTGTTGAAATGTCCTGAGAGCCCACAGATACTTTATAATGTTTGTTGACTGGGCACATTTCTTGTTCACCCTCGTCTGTCTACCGCCCAGGCCTAGTAATTTGCATGTAGTAGTTGGTCAACAAATGTCTGCTGTGTGAATGAATCATTCAGTCCTTGAATACTGACTTCTAGAAAGCTTTAACCTTTATTCTAGCCATATTTCTTGCTCTTCACTATAACCCTACTGCTCAATCTAGGTAAGTGCAGGATCAGAATACCCAGTATGTGCAAATAATAGTAATAATAATCACAATTCCAACAATGACAACCACATCTGCTTTTGCTAACTGAGTGTCCTTGAGGGGCTAGGCCTTTACATGTATTACTTTCATTTAACATGGCATTGAGAGGCAGGGATTCTTATTTCAACGAAACTATGATGCAACTTATTATAAGATACATCCCGGTTTCAGAGCTGTTAAAATGTGAGGAAAAAAAAAGAACAATTTAGAATCTATGAAGTCTGCTATGATTACCCCATTTTGCAGATGAGGAGTGCACAGAGAAATCAGAGCACTTGGCCAAAGATCAGGGTGGCAAACAGTAGAGCTAGAATTAGAACCCTGGTTTTCTCAAGGGCTTTCTAACTCCAGATCCCACCTCTTAACTTCTAAGAGAATGGACCTCCCTGTGCAGAAAAGAGAGAAACCCACCTTTGACTCTCACTTTGATTTTCTGTTCTTGTGTCCAACATTTTTAAAGGTTAAAAGAGAAGCCAGAAGCTGAGGACACCCCTGCCTGACTCCAAAGTCCTTGAAACTGCTGTCACCGAGAGGACGAGTGGGCTGCCCCACAGAGGAGTAAAGGCTGTGTACCACACAAAGGCACCTGAATGAAGGACATACCACTCTCATGGTAGATGCCATAGATTTGTATGCTTGTTAAGACATTTACTGGCCAGGTGCAGAGGCTCATGCCTGTAATCTGAGGACTTTGGGATGCTGAGGTGGGTGGATCACAAGGTCAGGAGTTCAAGACCACCCTGACAAGATGGTGAAACCCCATCTCTACAAAAAAAAATACAAAAATTAGCCAGGCACAGTGGCAGGTGCCTGTAATACCAGCTACTCAGGAGGCTGAGGCAAGAGAATGACTTGAACCCAGGAGGCGGAGGTTGCAGTGAGCCGAGATCATGCCACTGCACTCTAGCCTGGGGGATGGAGCAAGACTTTGTCTCCAAAAAAACCAAAAAAGACATTTACCAACAGATGAAAGTGGAGCGTATTGAGAAAGCAGCACCTTTCAAGAATTCCCACCAAAGTGCTCTACGTAAAGAACATGGAAACCAGCCCAGGATGTTGGAGGTGGCCAGACTCAGCCAGTGCATGGGATAGACAATGGTCTAGATCAGAGGTTCTACCTGAGAGTCCCCTTTTCATCCTCTTCCCTCCCAATAAGGACCTCCAGGTCTCAAAGTTATCCTCAAGAACCAGATACTGAAACATGGAAATGGAGAGACTTCTTAAGGCCAATGGCAAACTCGGATTTGCAGAGACTGGCATTTTACTTTCTCTGCCTCTCTGTGTAGGTTTTAAAAAGCATCTAACATCTTAGCTAAAAGTAGACTAGAGTGGTTAAGAACATAGACTGGAGCCAGGCACAGTGGCTCATGCCTGTAATCTTAGCACTTTGGGAGACTGAGGCGGGGGGATCGCCTGAGGGCAGGAGTTCAAGACCAGCCTGGCCAACATAGTGAAACCCTGTCTCTATTAAAAATACAAAAAATTGGCTGGGCATGGTGGCAGGCACCTGTAATCCCAACTACTAGGAAGACTGAGGCAGGAGAATTGCTTGAACCCAGGAGGCAGATGTTGCAGTGAGTTGAGATGGTGCCATTGCACTCCAGCCTGGGCAACAAAAGCAAAACTCCGTCTCAAGAAAAAAAAAAAAAAGAGCACGGACTGGTGCCGGGCTGGTGGTATAGAAACCCAGGCTCTGTTCTTGACTGGCTGTGTGACCTTAGGCAAGTTACTTAATTTCTCTATGCCTGTTTCCTCAACTGCAAAATGGGAATCGTAATGGTGTCTAGCTCACAGGATCAAACATGAAGACTCAATGAGTTACTATCTGTAAGATATGTGCAGAAGAAACGAAATGCCATGTAATTGCTAGCTATCAGAGGCCCAAGGCAGAGCAGACGCAAGATTAAAAGCCTGAGAAAATGTTTCTTATCTTGTTGACTTTGGAACTTCAGAATGAGGACTGCATTGTGTCTGTGGTAGGCCAATGGCTCCTGGTACAGGAGATACCTGCTCACGGTGTCCAAGCAGTTAGGAGCCTGGGCCTTTAGTATGTCAGGAAAGCATCACAGCAGGCTCTGCAGGCACGGAGGAAGTGGTCAGCTTCAGACTGTGTAGTATCAAGTGTGCTGGAGCTCCGAAGAGCTTAAAGATCAGCACTGGTGATGAGTTAGGATGGAAAACATAAAAATTCTGACCCCTGGGACAGCACCTGAAACGGTGAAATCTGGAATTTGCAGCCAAAAACAAAATAGTCCGTTTCTCCTGAGTCTATGAAGCTTTATGTGCACCTTCGTCTGCCTTGCAGTGAGATGAGGAATACGAGTCACAGCCTCTCTCAGTGGATAATGCTGAGCTCAGGGAAGTCTGGGAGGCAGCAAGCCTGGACCTATAGTACATCCCGGGCAATGGGCCATCCACCAGCCAGGACCTGGTGGGGCAGCAAAACAAGACAGGAGGGTCTCTGCTCTTCCTGCTCAGTGGGAGAAACAACATTCTTTCCCAAAGGAACCGACTTCATCAGAGCCCAGAAGTTTGGGATTTAGCCAAAGACTTAACAGGCAGCTTGAAAACACACATATGTGCGCTAATGGAAATCAGACCCAGTTCTGGAGCAGCATGTATGATTTTGTTTACAAACTGGCTGTACAGTCCTCTGAAAGGAAACCAGGCAAGCTTTCCAAGCCTTACGCAAAGTGGATATGTGAGCCCCAACTATTTCAATATGATGTGAGCTGAAGACTCCAATTACTCCTGGTATGAACAAAAATGAAAGGGCTGAATTTCAACTGGCAACAGCAAAAAGCACAGCCACAAGTCCCTCAAAACCAAACTCAGTCTGCTTAGCAAGCTACCATACCTTGCAAGTCTCGGATGATTCTCTGGAGCTGGCTCTCTGCATTGGTGGAAGCCATGGTGAGTTTGCCTTTCTTGGCTGTGTGTCTCCTGCCTGGGTCCAGAGGAAGGTTCAGAACTTCGGCCCTCCTGTGGCTGTCTGCTCAGCAGTGGTTAGACTCCATGGTGGCACCTGCACAGCGGAAGAGCAAGCCATGGAGGAAGCAGACACAGACACAATTTAAAGACAATATTAGAGGAACTCTGCTCTGAGCACAAAGGCCGCCCTATCTGGGTGTATTCCCTCAACAGGAGGGCTTGACCTTTCTGTGTGGGCCTTTGCTCCATGGGCACTCTTGGGTTTGTTTCTGACACACTTATATTCAGACACAGTGACCTTGTTTGGGGCTTAACAAGAAATTAAATCAATTATATTGCAGCCTATTCTTTCTGAGCTCACTTTCCATTCGCCATAGACAGGACTGTCTTACCTTCCTTTAAAAAGCTACCCAGTGGCTTCCTCCGTTCCCTAGACAGAACAAGTGCAGCTCAGCTTCAGACAGCTCCACTAAGCCTCAGGATCCCCATCTCCCTGACAGCCGGACCCACATCCTCTCCAGCCTTTCTTTCTCTAAAGAACGGTTAGTCTCTAGCCAGGCAGTGCTGGGGGGAAAGGCTGAGGACCCCTACCCTCAGGGCTTCTGGACCAAGGAAAGTCAGGCTTGCCTGGCAGGGTCCTGGGAGGTTTGCAGCTGCCAGCTCCCCAGAGTCCAGCTCAGCCTAGGTATGCAGATGCTGCCTGGCCTTTTCTCCAGAGGCTTGCACAGCCCCCGTACCAGGCAAAGGACGTAGCTCTATTTTTAAGCTCAGTTACAGTCCTCTCCCAGCTAGTGAGTCCTGAGTTATCAGCCCTACTTGGGCAGCTGTTGAAGTTATTTAACTGTAGGGCTGAAAGCCAACAGAAGTTAAAGAGATGTGAGCACATCGGAAAGAGGTCTGGAAAGACATCTGGACATTTCTATGTCCTTTCAGAACCGCTAATTCTTCCCTTAGTTATCCAGTGCAAAGTTGTAGTGTTTGCTGGCGAAGTAGACAGCAAGACTAGAGACGGCCGTGGCAGCAGTCAGTACTAAATGAGAGTCTACTGTGTGCGGGGCTGTTACATGCTTTACACATATGACCGCTTTTAATTCTCACAGTCACTCTGGTGGAGTAGATAACATCAGCCCTGTTTACAAAGGAGAAACTGATGCTCAGAGGAGTCATGTAACTTCTTTAAGGCCACAGGTGAGTAAGATGAGGAATCACAGGTTTGAATTGTGGTCAATCTGATTTCAAATCTGACAGTTTTTCTAGTAAGTCCTACGGACTTTTTAAGACTAAGCCATTGTCACTACAGCAAATGACCAACCACTTCCACCGGCTCAAGGCACCACCATGAAGTCCAGCCGTCTTCCAAGTAATGTGAACACCCTGAGTGTTCTAACATATGCCACCTCTCACTCTCCCACTGCCACCTTGCCCTCACAGCTCCAGGAGTCCAGGCAAACAGATCCTGGCATGGAAATCAACCCAGGCACAAGCTCCTCCAAATATTTACATAAGGATTCCTGCCTCTGCCCGAGGAGAGAAGGGCCTATCACAAGGCGGAGATAACGAGAGCCTATTTTTAACTAACTAGCCAGCGTAGCTGTGACTCAGTGCAAACAAGGCCCAAAGAGGGCTTCTCTGGCTTCGGAGGAAGGAAACAGTCAGCCACATGCCTGTTCCGCAGTCCCAGGAATTCATGAGTGCCACAAAGAAGAGCTTCAGGGGATCCACAGACAACCCCCTGAACCTCCCAACAAATGTTGGCACCCACCTATCAGGGACACCAAACTGAGGGTAGGAGCGCTTTACGAGAAGCCTGCCTGCCTATCCCTGGGTGTCTCTCCAGGTCGCCTGCTGAACACAGGGCCTGAGCAGGGACCAGCTGGGACCCTAGAGAGAGCCAGAGAGGATAAGGACCTCCAATATCAACACACAGCTGCCCAGCACATTCCATCAAGTGCCTACTACGTGCAGGCTAGGGATACAGAGGCAACAAGACACATTCCAGTCATGGAGGAACCTGGCTACCCATCAAGGAGACAGATGGAAAAATATCACATATCCAGATACAGTGGAAGAGGCCCCCATAGAGATATGGATAAAAAGTCATGGGTACTCAGCTCTGAGAAGATATGAACTATGGGTATACAAAACAACATGGAGGAATCTGAAATGCCCTGTGCTAAGTCAAAGAAGCCTCTCAAACCATGACAACTGCGCAATCCCATTTACATACGATTCTGGCAAAGGCAAATCATTAGGAGAGAAATCACATCAGTGGCTGCCAGAGCCTAGGGGAGAAGGGAGGGTCTGACTACAAAGGAGCACAGGGAAATTTGGGGGGCAATTCTGTTTGCTGCCTTGATTACGGTGATGGTTACATGACTACACGTATTTGACAAACATATACTTGTCACAACTCATATAACTGTAAATTATATCTCATAAAAAAGCAGCATTGTGATGAATTTGTAAAAAAAAATCCAATGGGATCTGAGGAAGGAAAAATTTAATTCTCCTTGAGGAAGGGAGAAGTGGTGGGCACTCTGTGATGGCCAGGCCTAAAAAACGAACAGGAGGTCACTGGAGAGAGCCAAGAAGGAAAGGATGCCAGGGCGGAGGCATGCAAGAGTAAAGGCTGTTTCTCTAGCTGCATTCCTCGTATTTGACTGCTGCCAACACAGAGGAGCTTGCAGTTTCTGAGACAAATAATCCTGGAGGAAGATGACTGGAGTGAGGCCCTGTGAGTCTTCGGATACAGCCCACTGGGTCTGTGTGTACAATTCTGACCATGTCTGTAGAGAGGGTGGAGGTTGGGAAGGAGGCGACAGCAACAACAGATCCTGAGTAGCTCTTCCAGGCTGCGGCCAGGACAAGGGAGGAACCACACAACCAGCTGGAATTTCTGGAAACCAGACCTAATTGGAGTCTGGCACGAGGGAAACAATGCCTGCAAACCCAAACCAGTATCTTGGCATCATAAGCCTGAACACAGATAGCAATATGCTCCTTTAAGACTGCTTGGTGCTTTCGTGATACTGCCCCTGTGTCCGCCCAAAGCAGGTGGCCTTGTCAGTCTGACCTTCCAAGTATGCTCTCCACTGGTGTCAAGTTCCCAGGTCATGGGGTGAGCTGTTCCCAGCCACTGAATACACAAGCTGACTTTCCAAAGAGCCTGTGTCACTACCAGGGTCATGAGCCCTAAGAAACTGCCTGCCAGGCCTGTGGGGCATGGTTGGCTTCCCCACTCTGACTCTGGGTCACCACCTCACAGGGATTCAGGAAGTAAGTCAGAGCTTCCATAGAGAACATAGTCACCATGGGGATGCTATTTTCATGGACTCAGCAGCTTGCCTCCCTTGTTCCTCCGTCTTGGTCTGAGGTCATTAGTAACCAACAAAAGGCAAAGAATGGGCATGATCTCTCTCCAAACATGATCAACTTTCTTGTGTCTCTAGGTAAGCTTGCCCTTTCATTGAGGGATAACAGACACCTGGCCTGAACCAGCCTGATCCTGACATCTACAACCCATTGGCAAACAGCTCTCCTAACTCAGGAGACACTCAAAGCTCTGAACACACTACCATGGCTGCTTCAGCACCGGGGTAAGGACTCTGAGACTCACGCACCTCACAGGGCCCCCTGCAGCATGCCAATCACCTCATAAACCCACAGTCTTTGTTGCACAACATGTAAAACCCCTCATCACTGTCTCTGACAGGCTCTTCTAAACAGCAGAGAAATGCGTTTTATACAATATTTGGAAGCACTGGATTTCCTTGCCAACAACTCAAAATTATGTTTAAGTCTATCCAAAATGTCTGAAAACATCAAATTTTCTAAAAAAGAGGAAAAGGGACTCACCGCATTTTAAAAAATTCTTATTTTTCACTTGGTACTAATGTATGAGTTCTTAGTCAGGACCTAGGTATCATTTTAGAAGTAAAGGGTGTTCTCTGGCCTCCAAGTTTTTTTAATATCTGCCCAGATGCCCTAAATGCCTTAAACAATAGCAACTGCGGTATAGTCAAATTAAGACACAAAGATGCTGACTGACTGATATAAACTTATTTGCACTACAGTACAAGTGACTGATACTCATAATATTGCCCAGAAACTGGCTCAGACAGCAACAATAATAGCATCTGAGTAGCCACACAAGGAAAGAAGAATCATCAGGGGAGGAGGAGGTTGCAGGCCTGGAAGTCAACCTTTCTCCGCCTTCAAAATTTTGCTCCCAACACAATAGCTAAGGGCTAACCCAGAGAGGGCACCTTACAGTTGTATCCCTCCCCCAGTCCCAAATAAGGAGGAGCATACCAGTTGTAAATTCTCCCCTGACCAAGAAAGAATGTTAAGTACAAGGACAGATAAAAAGGCAGAAAAGCCTTTCTGGAAGAGTCCATTGCCTAGGCCTGGTTGAGCACACCCAGTGGCATCTATATCTAGTTACCACCTACAGAAAGGGAGGCACTTGGCTGGTACCTGCAGCTTCGAAGGCCCAGAGGTCCTGCTGGCCCAGCGCTGGAACAATCAGTGGGCAGGCAGCCTGCCCTCCCCAGAGCTTCGAGAGGGTGGCTAGGAGAATGCTCTGGAGTTTGCCAGAGGCCAGCTCAGAGGCAGGTATTTCAGCACATGTGAACAAAGACTCATTAGGTGACCCAACCCCTTGGACCTATGATTAAAATGTTAAGCCACTGCATGCCTGGGTCATCTTTCCCAAACACTCCTTCTTGTCATCTTCTCTCTTAAAGGGAATGAGAACTTGAGGCTTTGTCATTGCTTCTTGAACCTTCTCTTCATACCCTCCCTTCCACCAACAATAGCAGGTTCCCTGGTTGCTCTCCCAGAACACATACAAAACAGCCATTATCCTAGTCCATGTACCCCAGAGAACAGGGCCTCGAGGGCTCTGAGGAGTTGCTTTTGAATCTGGGGGAAGCCAAGTCTTTTTTTTTTTTCAGTGAGGTGGGCGGCTGATCACGGGAGGAGCCACACGTCTATACTTGAGGCTGTGGGGCTGAGAAAATATCCAGGAGGTGACGATGACAGGCGTGAAAATCTGGGCAGTCTCTGGAACAACTGCATCAATAATTGAGAACTCAACTGATGCACCTACTCATGCTCCAAAGAATACAGGCCCCACCTATGTGGGGAAAAACTACAGATCTCCAGAATTATATGCTCTGAGACCTCTCCTGACTGACGTGTCAAAGGGGTAAATCCAGCCAGTTGTGAACTAAGAAGTGAATCTCTGATAGGATATGACACAGCCACAAAACACAGCCTTGAGAAAGCAGCAGGTAACTTCTATGTGCTAACAAACTGCCAGCCAGGTAAAAGGTATTTTTTGGCAGCACTATGAAGAGGCAAGCCTGAACCAAGAGCTGGGGATACAGGTGTGAAAAGGGGCAGTGGGCGGAGCTCTGGCCTTAAAGGAACTCAGGCTCAGTGGGAGAAATAGATAACATATACCCCAATAATCTTACAAACAAGTAAGAAAGAGCAATTGAGGCCTGGTAAGTGCTTTGATGAGAACAAATGAACATACAAGGTACCAGGCTGTACTCCACTCATGATTCTCAGCCCTCACTGCAGAGTCTCATGCTATACTTCTGTGGCTTCCGGGGCCATTTGCCACAATGGTAATTTTTTGTTGAATCTCTGTTCTTTCCACTTGTCTGTAAACTCCATTGCTGTTTCTGCTAGCACAGTTCTGGCACATGGAAAGCCCTCAATAAATTACTGCTGAATAAATGAATGAATTAGACAAAACAAAACACATAGATCCTTGCTCCACAAATCAAACTAAACTTTGAGGCATAGAAATGTACCAAGATGTAAATACTACTAATCTTTCAATGGTGGCAACATGAGCACATTTTTTAAAAATTCTATTTCTCTGATTTTTCAATTTTCCTTTGTTGAGCATAAATTATATTTATGTTCACTAAAATAATGCACTTAAAACACCATATACAAATTGTGAACATTATGTTGTAATTATTGTAAAAATGCTGTGAGCTATTATTCCAAGAATGAATAGAATAATATAATTCAGGGATGGATGAAGTATGTCTACTCCACACTGCCTACCTAACTTCTATTTATAAACAGACCTCTGGTGTCCTGAGAGCTCAGGTGACTGCTGTCAGACATGTGCACAAACCTCTTAACCCAGCTTGTGAGGCCCTTGATGGATGGGCTTCCTGACCTTGATAGGGATAGGCCCATCCTCTTGTCCCTCCTCCTTCCCCACCTCCTGCCTGTGTTCGGGCCTCCCTGTGCTGCCCTTCAGTGGCTAGGCCCTGCCTCTGGGGTTTGGATGCTCTGCTCCCTCCGCCAAGGCCATGCCCTGTCCGGCTCATGCTCCCTACACCTTCCTCTGGCCAGTGGCTTCAGTATCTCTGGGTTTCATACGGACAGGAAGAAGTGTGAACCACAGTTTGGTTCCCGAGGAAGACTTACCCACAGCCTCCTTCACCCCATCCTGGACAATGAAAA